TATTATGAAATATTTGAGACATACAAAAAGTTTAAAGAACAGGTATATACTCTTTAGTGAACATTTGTTGCTTCTAAGATAAAAATCTGAATTAGTGAAAAAGACTTCATTTCCAGATAGAAGGGCAGCAAAGCTGGAAATTGAGTTTTGCCTAAGTTTTTTTTTCTTTCTCCAGAGTGTATAAGACTGGCATTCTTATCATGTACAGGCACACCAAGTCTCCCTTACTGAGCAGGGAGATGCAGTTGCTACCATCTTAATTAAAAGAAAAAAGAACCAACTAAGGTCTAATAGGGAAAGATGTATACAGGAAGCTTGCTAATGGAAAACTTGACTTTTTTGGTTGGAAGACAACTACACTGAAGACCAGAAAGGAAACATTAAGCTCATTAATTCTTGGCTCTTCAAGTCTTACAGTGGTGTCCGTAACTAGCTGTGTGACATTGGGCCAGTTCCTTAGCCTCTCTGTACCTCAGTTTCCTGAACCATGTGATGAGTAGAGTAATAGGTTATACTTCTTAGGGTTGTTACATGTCAAGCCCTTAGAACAGTTCCTGGCATGTAGTAAACCCTCAATAAATGTTGCCTCACTATCTTCGTCCTCCTCAAAGGAACGTTATCATCGCAGGAGAGCAGAAGCTTTGTCTTACTTAGTTCTGTGTCCTCAGCTTCTGTTTTTCCCACAGTAAGCACTCAATAAATATTAGGTGGATGGATTAATTAATGACAATAGCTAGACTTTGAGGCTGAAAATCAAAAAGAATTTGTCTTAAGTTTTATAGCTAGTGAGGGGAAAAACGGACGTTGGGTTTAGAATAAGCTAGGGAAGGAGGGAAGAACCCTAAACTAAGATTAAAAGACCCACATTCAAGTTTAAGTTTTTTAAATTTTATTTTTATTTAAATTTTTTAAAAAGATTTTTTATTTATTTGAGGTGGGGAGGGCACAAGTAGGGGGGAGGGACAGAAGGAGAGGGAGAAGCAGACTCCACACTGAGCAGGGAGCTCCATGTTGGGCTCGATCCCAGGACCCTGGGATCATGACCTGATCTAAAACGCAGAGGCTTAACCGGCTGAGCCACCCAGGTGCCCCTCAGGTTTAAATTCTTTTAGCTCTCTGAGTGTTGAGACTAAGATTTTCTTTCCTAATTTGTAAAATGGGAATAATTCCCAAAATTATTCTGAGGATTACATTAAGGTGTATGTGAAAGCTTGCAATAAATTATAAAGGGATATACAAACACATGATATTATTAATTTTTATCTAAGTGAGTTTACCCATTGGATGACAATAAAATGATTCTATGAGAGTCTTGGAAGAAAGAATCTTTAGCTAAGATGTAAGTACTAAAAATATTCAACCCCAGAGGTACCACAGACATAGACTAATTTTTTCCATCTGTGCAGTTTAGGGTAGATTTGGCATACGCTCAATACCAGGCAAGAAAGAAACTATGGTTTAGGCTGCTTTGAAAGTAAAAAAAAAAAAAAGGCAGAAAAGGAAACTATTTCCTTTTATAAGCATGAATGTTAAAATAGGGAAAGTCTTCATCGAATAATTTACCACTGAAGCAGGAATATTTGAGCCACATTCTCTCCCACTTTCCCCACTCCCCACTCTCCCCACTTATGTTCTAATTAGTTAGTTCTTTCATACATCATGATTTATAGATTATGTCACTTCCTCCTCACAAAAGAAAAACAATATAGATTATTCTTTATCAGCCATGTGTGACTCAGAGGTCAAAAGAGCAATTTTTTGTAGGGTACTCTCCCTAGATTAGTAATATTTAAAGACCTGTTTTTCAGAGCCAGGGATTATTTAAAATATTATGGCTTTAAGATTAGGCCCCACCCAAGATGTCTCAACAGAGCCTGAGTTTGAGGTTGAGAAACTGACATGAGGAAAAAGATAAAGGAGCAAAAAAAAGCTGTAGTGGGTCAGCTGATGACTCACTGTCCCTTCCTTGAACTTCAGGAATGACAGGATGAAGAGGGAAAAGAGGCAGTGTCCCACTGTAGACCAGATGTTCTGTGAAAGTCAAGAACTTCAGGGAACTTAATGATCTGTGTATGTTCTTAGGGTAAAGCAATAAATATAATTTCCATGGTTTAGTTGTTAATTGCATCCAAGAAAGGACACCAGGAGAACTAAGCTTGATTGCATTTCACCCTCACAACTATCATCCTAAATCTGATCATTTTATTCTCCTGCTTCAAAACCTTAATCACTACACATTGCTACTGGAGTAAGTCTAAACCGAACAATGGCATAGACTATTCTTCATGACATCATCTCAACCTTCCTTGATAGCTTCACCTACCAATTACGTCTCCTCCTCCTCCTCCTTCTTCTTCTTCTTCAAGTAGGCTCCACACCCAGTGTGAAGCCCAACATGGGGATTGAACTCACTACCCTGAGATCAAGACCTGAGCTGAGATCAAGACTGAGCCACCCAGGCACCCCCTAATTAATTCTTATCACATATCTTGGAAGGTATAGGGGACTACTTATAATTTGCCAAATAAAGCCAGATACTTTTAAGCTCCAGTGCATTTGTTTATACTATTCTCTCTGTCCAGGACTCTCATCCCAGCTGGCAAACCCCTAACTGTACTTCAAATCCTGGTGAAAGCATCATTTCTTGTCTGTAGCTTTCTCAACTCCCACTCTCTCCTACTACTCAGAATGATTGTTCTTTCAGCTGTGGTGTCATTGAACTCTGAGCATGTATTTGTTAAATCACTTATCCCGATGCATTAGGTAGATTCATCAGGTTTATCCTCTCCCCAACTCACTGCGTTCTCCATGAAGGCAAGTGTGAGCCCATCATTGTTCAATTCTTGGCACACCATACAAGCATAAGACAGATTTGTTGAATTGAATTAAATATTAGAAGAGGGCCAAAGCATAAAGGGATTTTCTAGGTCTACGAATTATGCTGGGTCTAGGAAGTATGTGCTAACTCTACGTACATGATTCTGCTTTTGGTCTTATCAGAGTGCATGTAATTTGCTTTTATTAAGAAACTGTCAAAAAAACAGTATCATGAATATATTTCTTCAGATAAAACATTATTAATTCATTTGTAGCTTAGAATTGACCTTCCCATGACCCAGTTAGCTAAAATGCAGCTGAATAATTTGAAATATTCTCCAACTGGAATGGGATCACATTTGGGGTTTACTTTAATCAGTGCACCCCTGTCTTGCTTTTGCTCTTCAAAGAGCCCCCTTTGAAGGCATGAGCTCAAGGGAAACCAGATGAACTCTGTCGAATTTTAAACTTGCCACTTTCTCTCCACTAGCATTCAACTTTTCTTCTCTAACTGAACACGCTAACTGAAGACATATATAATGTAATATCAATTTATTTTTTAATCTTATTCATTATGCCACCTTGTTCCAAACAGTCTTTAAGAGAGGTTAAAGAAAAAAAAAATCCAAATCCAAAACCAAATTGTTCCACATTTGGTCCATATTCACCCACAGCATCCCAGAGCTGATCATCAGTCAGTGTGATAGACTTTTGGAAAAATTTTCCAGGTACTAGTAATAGCATTTCCTGAAGTTGGATGTTGATTTACAGCAAAGGATTCTGCTGATGCTCACAGGTCACTTCTCTCTTATGATCCAGTATGAGTTTGTTCAACCTTGAAATCAGTCACTGAGGCCCCCTCTCGGGGTACATAACGAGGCAGTTGTTACCCAGCATGCAACCTGGCTAAATAAAATTGTAGCTGACTCATGTCTGCAGGTGCATATGGGGTACAGCCTAAAGAGCAAGAGCGGGAGCTCGAGAGTCAGTCTGTCTGTCTGAGTTTGAATCTGGCCACGCCTCTGAGCCGTTATGTGACCTTGGACAAGCTGCTTAACCTCTCTATGCCTCACTGTGTCATCAGTGAAACCGGAATAATAATATCTGCCTTGTGGGTTTGTTGTGTGGAATAAGTGAATTAAATCTGTAGAGTTAATTTATTTATTTATTTATTTATTTATTTA